TGAACTGAAGGACAGGCGAGCTCAGAACATTTCCTGGGAAGCATAGTGCTTTAGGGGTGCCTTTTTATTCCTTTCCTTTTATTACAGTTTTATTACAAGCTTATGGATGGTTGGAAGGGTTAAGTTGATCTCATGTTTTAAGAGTTGGAATCCAGCCTGTGGTAAGGTGGGACCTTTTTTTAAGGTAGAAATGTCTAAATTCAGTTACTTCATCTAGCTTACATCTTAAAAACACAAACCCTAAAGTTGATTTCACTTGGTGAACACATCTCTGCAATGACAGAGGGCTCTCCAGGATCCCTGTTTTACATGTCTGTTATATGTTATGCTCATCAGAGTGTTTGGGGGTGTGGCTTTGTTTTGTTCCCATCTGTAACTGCCTTATCAAAAAGCAAGTGCCCTTCCATTCCAGCCTCCTCATATTGTACTTGTTTCCTGCCAAATAGGGGGGATCATTTGTATTTCAATTCTGTAATCTATGGCTCTGTACTGTTGAAAGGCTCTCGATTCTGGGGGGTCTCCTTAGTATGTATGTGACTTTTCATATTGCAATATCACACAGATGGGATGGCCTAACTTTCACTCTGAATAAATGATCTGAATGAATAACAAGAGACACTCTGTTGTTCTCTTTGTCCACAAGGAATTCAGATGCGTCCACTTCTTCATTGGCCCCTGGCTGTGTTGTACAGTGACTGGTGACAATGGCCTTTCCTCCTGGCTCCAAGTACTAGCCCCTACACTCCCACCTCCAGTCCCAGTGCACACGACTGAGTATAGGTCATAGATGTCTGGTCCTACTCTCCCACTCACTCATGTGGAATGACTGACCGGGGTCCAGTGGCCCGCATCTGGAGCTGGAATGCTGCTAAGCATACCAGCAAGATACCTGGGCAAGCAGCCTCACTCAGGGTCTTCAGTCGCCCATCTGTAAAGGAGCATCCTAAGTAACCTGGATGGAGGACTGCAAGCTGGAGGGCCTGCAGGGAACTTGCTGCAAGCCTGAACACAGGTCCTTTGTAAGGGCCAGGGCTGTTGGCTCCAGCCTATTATTGCCATGAGGGAATGCCAACCCTGTGTGGCCAGTTCTTGGCAATTTCACAAGAGGATCTGAAAATGTAGACCTTTATATCAATATCCCAATGTTCAAATGTCTCAAAACCTATTAACAGTGTATGGACTGGCTTTCTTCACACTAGAGCCTTGCTGTTGAAAGGTGGTCCATTTTCTGAGTGCTTGTTAAAAATGCACGATCTCTGCCCCCCTCACCTTCCAGCTGTCTGCTGAATCAGAAACTGCATTTTTAATGAAGTCCCCAGGAAAGTCACATGCCTGTGATGGCGCTATCTGACTGAGCTTTATTGGAGGCCCCTGAGGCCTGGGGGTTAAGTCCTGTGCCCAGCCAAGCCACAGACTCAGGTCTTTCCTTTCGAGTCTGTCACTAGTGCCACTTTAGCCATCCTCCTACCTCAGCCAAATTAAGGGAATACAATACTTACTTGTCTTCACAATATTAGTTAAACACATACTAGCCCTAAAATTTTAAACAGCCCTGAAGTTGAAAGTGCATTTCCTCTGCTTCCCACCCTCCCCTCTCCCCTTCTACCCCCTTGTCAATAGTGTGGATGGTGACTTTTCAGGAGGCATTTCTGGGGACAAGGAGGATGGGGAGTCGGGTGTCACTGAAAGCCCACAGGATTAGTGATGGATTGTTGCTGAAGGATGCTATCAAGGGGTCACTGAGCAGGTTTCCTTCAAGAAGCAAAGGAGGTTCCAATTTTCTTATCATATTGTCTCTTATTTGAAGTGTAACTTAAGTAGCTTCTTCCCTTCTGCTGCCTTCCCACTGTCCTCTAACCCCTCATATGGTGAGTCACAAAAAGTTGCTTTGTCCTGAAGCTTCCGCAAAACTGGCTGACCCCACTGAAGTCAGCCTGTAAGGATCCAAATATCCAGTTGTGATGAAAGGGTGACCCCACATCCAGTGTACCTTAGAACAGGTTTCAGTAGGAGCCAGAAACCCTTTTTTCAAATCAGACTTTCAGAATATTGAATATCAGGTTATATGAGGTCCATTGTTTTTGAGAGTGTGGCACTTACCACCTCCCGCCCCCATCAGAATCCCCTAAGNTTTCTCTGGAGGGTTTTTAAGGATTCTGATACCTGAGGCTGAGTCTAGGATAGAACTGTTTGAGGATAACTACTTCCCACTGTCATCCTTCACGCTCCTCTGTCTGGTCTGCTGCTAGCCCTGCCCGTCTTCCTCCAAGATGTCTATCTGGATTTTCCTTTACTGTCCGTGCTTGGTGTGCCCTCTAGTGTCACCACTCCTCCAAAGCTCAACCTCATCACCTCATTTCTGGATCATTGCTACAGCACTTTCCTCTGCCCCCTGATCAGCCTTCCCTATAAACCACCGCTAGACCTATCTTTCTGGAATGTGACCCTACAGCACCTAGGATAGCTCCTGCTTTTCAAGACATGGTACCATCCAGTCTCACCTTTGAAGCCCGCTCGCTGCATTTGCCTATGCCCCTCTAGCCTGTCTGTTCTCCTCCTAGCTGTCTGTGCTCATGGTCTTCTCTCTCATTCCCTACTCTAGACTATTCCTCACTGCCTTTCTAAACCCTTCCTCTCCACAGCTTAAGCCTCATCAGCCTTCTGGGACCACCCTCCCCAGCTGGAACTTCTTTTCCAGTTATTTTTGTCCTCCCAGCCAGTTATTAGTCCTCGGTGGACTATTTCTGAGACTTCTTTATTCCTCTCCAGCCCCACCCCCACTTAGTGTTAGCGCTAGGCACACAGTGGGCTCGCAGTGGGCTCGCAGTGAGTCATGGCTAGTCAGGTGATGGGTAACATGTTTCTCCTCTTCTCTCTAGGTTGATCTGTTCCAGCTGCAGGTGAACACTCTACGACGTTATAAACGACACTACAAATTGCAGACCAGACCAGGCTTCAATAAGGCCCAGTTAGCAGAAGTAGGTAGACAAATTGCACTCTTAAAAAGAGAGCCAGCATTGTGCTTCAGATGGTGACCTTGATTGTGCTTACTGCTTGTGTGTCTGTTGACCATAATTCACTCCACAGGTCACTCCACAGAGCAACCTCCTGTTCCCTCTGCACAATTTAGAATCCCTCCGCTTTAGACCTGAGAAGGCCCTATTTCCATAAAAGGAGGCATGGCACAGAGCGAGGAAAGGACTTGCTTAAAATCAGCAGCAAGTTGGTAGCAGAATCAAGTTTGGAATCTCAGGACTCCTGATTCTAAGTCCTGAGTGTTCATTTGTTTGAATCTTATTTTGCAAAATTCTTTATAGTAGATATATTCCTTTCCATATATCAGCTGTGTCACATTAATTATCCCAAAACCTTTACTCTTGTTATGTAGGAGCTATTTTTCTTTGTTTTTTCTCTGAGTTCTTCTAGTCTCATGTTGGTGGTAGAAGTATTTATTACAATGAGTGGAGCCCAAGAAAGTTTTCTCCTGCCCTGAGTTCTTTCCAAGTTTGGAAGGAAAGAAAAGGCTCCATTGGCCATTACTTTACTATCCTGACAGCCTAGCTTGTTACTTCTGTCCTCTAGGCACTTGTGTGGGTATGCTGTCATCCCCCTTAATGTGTTTTTCTACCTATAATAGAAAATTGGGAATAATGAAGAAAAGAAAGATAGAATGCTGCCATGCAGAGATAACCCCTCTGTAGTTCTGATTCTCCCATGCTCTTTTTATCCATCCTAGCCACCTCGATCCATTCAAGAATTTCCTTAAAGGCTCACAGCCCTGTTGGTTTTTGGTCTCCTTTGGAGGTTTCTTGCTAGTCCATCATATTTCTTAAACCTCTCCTTCAGTAGCATGTAGATAAAACAACCCTTTCCTACTTTAAGATAACATTGTCCATCTGCTGGTATTCACCCCTGGTAGAAGGGATAGGATGAGGTGGGGAAGAGGAGACCTGCTTTTTCAGGACTTGTAAAATAAAACAAAGTATCAAGAATATATACTAATGATGACTTTTTCTTCAAATCTGATATATCTTTCAAGAGACAGTTATGTACTATTTAGATGGGTCATACACTTACGTTTGTTCAGTTGTCTGTTCATTTGGTACAATTTTAGAAAGATATTTTTCTGCCCAGTATCAGGGCCTGAGAGGTAATGGTGGCAGCAGGCCAGCCAGAGCAGTCCAGTCTCTTCCCCCATGGGGATGACCTTGAGATCATGCCATGATGGACAGCTGGCTGCCACTGAAATAGAACCGCACTTGGGTGTTGTGGGTTAAAGTGCTGCTTTGGAAGCACGGAAGCCCGATCCCCTACACCCTGGGAGAGAAGAGCATTGTGAGCTCTGTGGCACTGCCACGGGCGCTGCAGTCACCATGACACCCTCTGTAGCTCTGGAAGCATCTGTGCAGTCCCTCTTCTGCACAGTTGAGAATTTGTGGCCCTGACTTATGCCTGCTTTATTGGGTTTTCTTATTTTCCCCCATGTAGACTGTAAGCCGACACTTCAGGAACATACCTGTAAATGAAAAAGAGACCCTCGCCTACTTCATCTACATGGTGAAGAGTAACAAGAGTAGACTGGACCAGAAATCTGAGGGCAGCAAGCAGCTTGAGTGAGGATGAAGCACATCCCCAAGGAGTGAAGTACAATGCTTAATGCACAGGTGATATCTGCTACATTTAAGCCCGTAAAGACTGCTAAATTTTATTGTAAATAAAAAAGTTTGAATGATGAATACTGTAAATCTCTGGTCAGGAGGATTATATTCTCATGATTCAGCATGTGTATACAAAGGCTTTCTTTTAAGGCAACTACTGGACTAAAACAAGATCATAAGAATTAAAAAGTATGTTTTGCAGCATTTAACGAAACATTAAGTCAGTTCTACTGGAAGTGTGGGATAAAAAGTGTTTTGGTGGCTACCTTGCCATAGCACGCTGCCCCATGTGAGCCATCGCCCTGGGACAGCAGCAAGGCACAGCTGCCAGTGGGTGTGTGGGAGCACGCCCAAGGCTTAGGAGTGTAGATGCTCTGCTTTGTTGCAAGCTTTGTCGTTTATCACTTTAACACCAGTCCCCCTCACTGGCTCTGTGCCTTGCACACAGTATTTGTTGACTAACTGAGCTTGTCACTAACAGTGCCAGCCTTGTAACATCTGCTTCACACCTCTAGTTAATGAGACCTCTGCCATTTCTGTTGCTCACCACTTAACTTCTGGAGTATGAAGGAAATCCTGATGCACCAACAGGAGGTTTCAAATCAAACAAGGACTTCAGGGCAGTCACATGTGCCAAGCAATAGTTGTGGAGGTTCCAGAAACACTGATGCAGAGACTCTCAGGAGCTGCAGCCCTTTGCACAGCCTCTGTGCTCCACCCTTTGGGGTGAAGTTCTGTGTGATGACTTTGGCTATTTTCCTGGGCCATAAATGCTTTGACAAATGGAGATATTCAGTGGTTTGGGGCTCATGCTTTCAGAAGTACTAATCCTTAGTTTACAACCACCAAGAAAGCTGCCAAGGTCCATGTGATTCCTGCTCGGAAGTCTAGCTCTAGGCTAGAAAGTCTGACTGGCCTAGACTCCCTGGGCTCATGGGTCAGCAGCAAATTATGGGCTTGAGCAACAAGGTTAATGCCATCTGATATTCATGCTTATGAGCAGTTTGCCTCCCATTTGGGGGAAAGGACTGTTGAAATGTTTTTTTTTAAGTATTAGTGATTACCTGATTTTTGTTGTTGTTTAAAAACTCAGATTCCTCTATATAATTATCTTAGAGCCAAAGTATCTTTTGAACACAAAGCTTTATAAAAGTATGGTTTGGAAATTTTTCTAATCAGTGTTTTGAAGGGGGAGAATGTGGATAAGGGGTGGACAGAAAGGGAAGAAAAGGACTTGGATTCTAATTTATGACCATCTTGAAATGCACTGTGGTCAATATCATTTTCTTATGTAGTGTTTAATCCTAAATTCTTTCTTAAGCCTTAAATTATAAAAGGAGTAGTGGATAGCCTGGCCTGGCAGAGAGTTTTAATGTCTTGTGGATGGTTTAATCTGAGCATCAATAGAGAAGTTGGAGCAAAAATCCCACTCAGTAGGGTGGTGAGTATCTGAAGGTCTCGGTTCCATGGATTGGGGACAGGGCCACCACTCACACCAAAACAGTGTGTTCTGTTGTAGCAAAGCTTTCACCAGTGCTCAAAACACATGCAGCAGATTGCAGCCTTTTTAAATATGTATAAATGAGTGTATATAGAACATGCTCTAGACTATGAGGGGATCTTATTAGTACACCTGGCTGTGGATAGCATGGCAAGGTGCTCTCTGAGCATTTATTTAGTCATTCAGATTCAGTGTGTATAGAGAGGTTTTCTCACCACTTACCGCTGAAGGATGTTGACATGAGGCATCAAGAAGACTCAAAGGTATGCAGCTTATATAGGTGTTTTCCCTGAGAGGCTGAGGTAGAAAGGCTTTGAAGACATCAAACACCAAAGCCCCCTTTGTCAAGGGGAGTGTTTTCTCAGAGGGCTAGAGTTGTTGGGGCAGATCTGGAACTATAGGTTAAGGCATTGGTGACCTGCTCTCTGGAAATGTCCATATCTTATTGAGAAAAAAGCATATCTTTCTGATGTTTAAGCCAAATTGTGGATGTTTAGGTCATGTCACTGTTTCTTTAACAGCAAATCTGTTCTCCCAGTTGAGAGAGACAGCAGTACATTTCTATACCAAAAGACATGGTGTTAGGATCCATCTGTTCAAGTGTGTCTGTAAGAATGCTTTTGTTCCACCGCGAAACCTGGCGAAACTTTTCACCATCAACCAGATGCTGTGTGCACTTGAGTCCCGTGCCATCTTTCCTGTAAAGAGAGATTTAGGAAGTAGAGGCCATGGGTATTCTTTTCAATCTTTGAAAACATGTCAGATGAGAGAAAAGACAAAGCTGTCTGAACTTAGGTTTTTCCCATGTGCAGAAATCTGTTCATTCAGCAAACCACTGAACCACTTGCCTTAGCCTCTTTGACAGTGTCCATGGCTTGATCTGTGGGCACAGAGTTCTGCCTGAGAAGTGACGGGCCTCCAAAGCAACTGGGCCTGGCTTCAGGGAGCGGTGGGCTTTTAGGAAAGCAGTGTTCATCTTGGCTGCCTGCATTTCTATACCACCTGCTAAGGGCTCTTGTGCTTCTCTCCACATGTAATGTTGCAGCATCACCTTCTCTCCTCTTGGTGCTCCTGAGTAAAACTGGAATTTGAAATCCAGAACTGGCATTATCTTCTTAAAGAGTACAGTTCCTGCCTCAGTTGACACCTGGTGTGGTTCTTCATATGTCCTGAAGGTTGTCATATAGAAATGTTAATATCCTGCCATTCATGCTGCTTCATTTTAAGGTTTTTAAAAAACACAAATGCACAAATTTCTTACTTCAATGAACAGACCCTTAGGTTGGCAACAGCATGTGAAAAAGATCATAGTGAATGCTGTGAAAGAGTGAGACCAAAGGATTCAAGACCGGTGCTGTAAAACGAAGAGGAATTTCACTTATGTATTACAGCTGCCAAGTTGTTACATGTTATTTTCATAGTTGAATATTTACTGCTAGCCTTCCAGAGGACAGATATTAATAATTGTTTCCAGCTGGAATGTTGCATCCAACCTTGGCATTTCAGCTGTTTATTTTGTGGGAACTTTTTGTTAATATGCTCCAGGACAACTGCCTGGTAGAAGGGAGAAAGTAGGAGAAGGAACTTACTGTGGGGACATTGCCTGTTGAAATAGGTTGTTCCGACCATGGATCCCAGAGTAGTTGCTTCATGGAAATCATCTGAAGGCTCCCAGTCATTACAAGGACAAGGTCCAAAAGTTGGGAAAGGGCTTTAAGTTGTCCAGTCCAATCTCCCCATAGGTGCTGACATTCTGCCTGCAACTGTCCCACCAGGGTTTGAGCAGTGGGCTTAAACAACTCTGAGGTCAGGGAACTCACTACCTCCTAGGGAAGCCTGTTCTATCTTTGTAAACCTCTGGCTTTTCTATGTTCTCTGTACTTTCCTTCTTAGTCTCTGCCCAGTGGGGGCCACAGAACAAATGGTTCATCTTGGCCAGGGACCTAGTTGCTTGCACTGTCCCAGCACATAGCATTTGTCTTGTGCAAAGGAGCAGCTAGCAGACACTTTGGTGTCCTAATTGCCATTCCCTCTGAGGATTGGTCCATTTAGTTCCTTGTTGGAGAATGTGGGGAAACCCCATCAGCCTAGTTATACTCTCTTGTTCTTGCTGACGGGATGGAGGGGTCAGGGGAGGAAGGGATGCTATCAACCTGCTAAAAAAAATACCTTAAGACAGATGAGGCCTTAGTGCTGTACTTGCCCCTCAAACACTGATGCTCACATCACTTAGAAACAATTATAGCTAGAAGATGTTAAAATATTATCATTGCCCTGTGTGGAATTTAGAGGTTCCATGGCTGCCAAAGGCTTGAACCTTAAGATTCCTGCAGGTACTTCACACGTTGTTTCACTGAAAAAAACAAGGAACTTGCAGGGGGAGGGACCACATGTCTCAGTGTCAGAGCGGTGCCATATTTTCATATTTTCAAGCTGGAAAGCCCTTTGGGGTTGCTGTTGCGCTGTTACTCATGTTTGGTGATAGGGAAACTAACATTCAAAAAGACTTGCGTGAGTCACGTAGCATTGTGTGCCCTAACCCTCCTCCTCCCGCCCCGCCCCGCCCAGCCCACTTCTCACTCTCTGACTTGCAGCGGAACTCTAATCCAGCCCAGAGGAAGCTGCTGTCGGATACTTGAGGTTCCCTAGGCCATCCTGGCTCTCACGGACTATGAACCAACTTGCAGAACTCAAGGCTCAGTGACATGGTTAGGAAAGCAGTCAGTTGAGTTTTGCAAAATAAATAAATGGGAGGGGAGAAGAGAACTAGCCCATAATTTAAGACCAGTGTTCAACAGTCTGGTGGAAGATGTGGTGGTATCCTAGAATCTAGTTGCACGGAATAGGCTTGCTCTGTAATCTGTTGGTCAGACTTCTGCCTTTCAGGTGGTCCTTTGAGTTTGTGTGACAGTTGGCCCTGACTTGAGCAGACACACACAGCTCTGTGGCCCTGATTCACAGCCTCCCCATCCCTGTTCCCAAGCTAGGCAGGTGAACTGAAGGACAGGCGAGCTCAGAACATTTCCTGGGAAGCATAGTGCTTTAGGGGTGCCTTTTTATTCCTTTCCTTTTATTACAGTTTTATTACAAGCTTATGGATGGTTGGAAGGGTTAAGTTGATCTCATGTTTTAAGAGTTGGAATCCAGCCTGTGGTAAGGTGGGACCTTTTTTTAAGGTAGAAATGTCTAAATTCAGTTACTTCATCTAGCTTACATCTTAAAAACACAAACCCTAAAGTTGATTTCACTTGGTGAACACATCTCTGCAATGACAGAGGGCTCTCCAGGATCCCTGTTTTACATGTCTGTTATATGTTATGCTCATCAGAGTGTTTGGGGGTGTGGCTTTGTTTTGTTCCCATCTGTAACTGCCTTATCAAAAAGCAAGTGCCCTTCCATTCCAGCCTCCTCATATTGTACTTGTTTCCTGCCAAATAGGGGGGATCATTTGTATTTCAATTCTGTAATCTATGGCTCTGTACTGTTGAAAGGCTCTCGATTCTGGGGGGTCTCATTAGTATGTATGTGACTTTTCATATTGCAATATCACACAGATGGGATGGCCTAACTTTCACTCTGAATAAAT